TACTGTATTACTAGCCAACCACAGAAGGAGGATTTTTGTCTCAGGAATGTAAGGGTAGGTTTCAGTGTCTAGTGAAGTGGTAGCTGAGGCACATCCTTTTGCTGTTGTGGTGGACTATAATACCTGCCGAGGTTTTGTGAGAGAGCTGCTAAGCAGTGCTACAGTCTTCTCAGCCTGTTCAGCTTCAGGTTGCACATTTGGTTTACATCAAAACGAGGTCTGCCTGAATGGCGTGGTTACACCGAGTGCATTTGCCAGCCTCTTCCAGCAAAGTGTGCTACAGCAGTCACAACAAACAACTCTACACAGAGAAACACTTACCTTTCTCAAATCTCCGACTCTCTCTCTGTTGATGGTCACCCCCACCAGAATGCCACACTCCTCCTGCACTGCCGAGGCCACCCCTCGGCTGTCACCTGTGCCTGGCATGCAATGGGCATGCACATCTGCTCAGCAGATATGTTGGTATATATTGGTAAAGAGAGATAAAGAATAGCTGCATGGAGACAGCCTTCAGTTCTGCTATGTATGACTGGGGAATATTCACTCAGTATTAAAGGGTACCACATGAAAACATAAGGGAGATCTGCAGTAAGGATCAGGCAAGCCTGATAATGAAAAAGAAAGTATGTTTGGAGTGCTGGGTAACTGGATAATTAGAGGATATTTTATAAAAAGATTAGTGTAAATATCTGTGATTTGTCTTAAGCTGGTAATGAATATACTGTATATTACTTTCCTTTAGAAGCTATTGAAATTGTAGGTTTTAGTAATTGATTTACCAGTATGGAGTGCTTTTTGTTATTCCATTAGTTTACCTTGTTGTGATTCTGGCTTTGCTCAGCCATTTATTTAGAAACTGGTCATTAAAAAAAATCAGAGGCTCAAATGTACAATTAAATATACATTTTCAAACACAGGCAAATGACAGATGCATACACTACCCTGTATACCAAAGGTCTACTTCAGTAAATTTTGTGTGCAATAGGCTCCCTGTAGTTAATCCAGAGTTTCTGTAGCACAGGCAATGGATTCCTGGCATCTGCCAGTGGCCAGAGCTTTTGGGTAAGAGGCAATTCCTTCCTGTTGTTTACAGGATCAGGTTTGGGTGTGAACAACTGCTAAAAACTTTTTCTTTAAGCAAGGGGTTTTCTAAAGCTTCCTGCTACATTTGCCACAGCTCAGATATTGCAAGCTGTGAACCAGATTGTGTCGCTCTTATGTAGGTCAAATAGTACCTTGCCTACACAGCGGGGTTGTCTCACAGAGTGTAGCTCAAGGTAAATATAAAATGAGCTGTCTCGTCTGCACAGTGCAGGATAAGGACACATTGAACACCCTCTCTGGCCCCTGACCTAAACAGACCAAAATAGTCCTGCTAACTCTGTTTCTCAAGGTAGGAATCTTACAGCGCTCTGTGTTCATAGCCTGCATTGTTCAGGTTCTTTTCCCATGTTTTTTCTTCCTTTTGCATAAGATGCCTATGAATGCACATGGAAAAAGTATAAGTAAAAATTCCTCTTTGTGAAATGCTGCTTTTTGTCCAATTTAGCAAGGAATTCCTCCTCTTGTCATAAAAAATTACTATTTTTCTATCTAGGCCATATTTATTACTTTTCATAGCTTAACTGAGTTCTGTAGTTAAAGTGTCATTGTACAGTGGGAGGAAACTACATTTCTTAAGCCAAGTATGATTATTCACTCTTCTGGTGCTTTAAGAAAGCCCTTATTGGCAGGGAAGTCAAACAGTAATTTGGTAGTCTTTAATAGTTGCTCTACACAAATGTAAATGGCATGGGGAAAAACAAGGAAAACAAGCTCCCATATTTTTCATTCTTTGATTTGAGTTCTTAACAAAGAGGAGAAGAATCCTGCTCAAGAGAGGACACAAAATTCTCTGTACAGATAGCCATTTCTCTCCCCAGTCCCTGGCACATGCCCTGGAAATATCACTCACAAGCAACTGTACAATTTACCTTCCAAAAACTTTTGTTCCATTTTGAGGTAATCAATTTGTGACTCCATATTTTCATTTCACATTTATCTTCCTTAGTTTCATTAAGCTTTTGCTTTTTTAAGATCTTCTTCACTTTAATTTTTAGTGACATTTTCATTACTGTATTAATTGCTCTTAAAACGCAGGATGAAGAAATACTTCCCTTGCCTGAAGAGCTTCTGCCCTGAAGGGTTTTACCTTAACAGATACCTCAAATGATGCTTAGCTGAAGATTTCCATGATGACAAGTCAGGGAGCAACACTCAGATTTTGATTCTTACAATATAGATGGTTTTTTTTCTGCTTCTCCTTGGAGACTACAAAAAAAAAAAAAGTCTGTAATGACAGCAGCTCTCAAACAGAAGAGAAAGACTTTTTCCTTATCTAGATCTCATACCACTTCATACTAAATCTATCACTACCTGATTCCTGCTGCCCCCTATGCCTCCAGGATTATAAGGTTTCATGATTAATAGGAAGAAGAGCAGTTTCTTCTCACCTCAGAGTATGGGAGTAGCTCAATGTAGAAGATGCTTCTGAAACAGGGTTTTGGGGGGTTTTTTGTCTCCAAACGTACTGGGGCTGTTACACAAGAAAGGAGACAGGTGGGGTTTTACTACAGACATGTATTGTTTGCATTTCAAGGGGATGTATCACCCCTAAGCTGAGAGGGTCACAAAGTGACAGGCTGACATCGAAACCGGTTTCTTACGGAAAATTTGGTTTGCGCAAGAAGCATCAGAGTTGCTGTTTGCCCTCTGCCTGTAGCTTTGAATCTACTGTTCAGGTTGAGTTAAATTTGAACTTAAGCTTATAAAAGCTTAATGAAAACAGGCAGCGGAGGATATCTGTGTTTCCCCAGCGAGGGAGAGGAGCCCTGCCTCTATCACGTATTAGGGAATCCCCGTGGGGAAAAGCTTCAGAAACAAGAAAAGCTTTGATCAGTTCTTTGAGAAGCCAACTGCAAGACGCAACACCTTGGGAAGGCAGCGTTCATTACTGCGCTGTAACCACATCTCTGGGTGGCTCCATGGCAGCCCCCGGTCTGAGCCTATTCCCTGCGGGCGGCCGCGCCCCAGCCCGGCATTCCCTCGGGAGCGGGTCCTCGGGAGGGGCTGGCTCTAAGGCGTGCCTAATGCTTCGCTTGGCACTCCGGCTAGCTAGTGATCTGTGAAAGTGGCGTTTAACAAAATCCATTAGTGCCCCTGGCTTCCTCCCTATCTCTACATGAGGAACCACTTAGGCAGAAGGGCAGTCTGGATTCTCGGGGAGGGGACTGCAGGCACTCCTGTTGCGAGGAGAGTTGCTCATGCAGATGCAATCCTGGCAGCTTCTGGTGTGCAATGAGGACCCTTTCATCTTTACTTTTAATAGAATGGATAAAGTGGAATGGTAATAATGGGACTGATAAATGAAAGGAAAAGTATAACCACATAATTATGTCAGAATCAACTAACAGCCATGAAAAGCCGATTAAACCACATTATGCAGATAGATGTAACAGAGTACTATTAGCAAGTCCTCTGCAATAGCATGCCTGGCAATTAAGAGAGCTGTATTGGCAGCACACAGTGAAAACAGTGCTAATGTATAGTTAAAAATATTTGGAGACAAATAGTGCCCAGACTATGGGGACAGCCTAGAGCTGAATACAGGAGCATCCTCGAAGATACCAGCACCCAGGAGAAAAATTAAAGATGTTATTTCAATAGATTCTTCAGCTAGGATGTTGGTCATATTTATATTTATCATAAAAATTAATTTACTGGCTTATCCAGAAATGAAAGGCTGCAGTGCAGTATGGCTGTTTTTTTCTAATTGTCTGCAAATTTCAGGTTGTGCAGGCTAACAGATTAAAGAAGCTTGCAGAAATATTCTGATTTAGGTAGCAATAATATTAGGTCTTCTTCCTATGGTTACAACTATTTGGCAAATATTTAGGAACAAGATAGCTCAGTGTTGTGTATTCTTAGGGATGTGGTATTTCCAGGTCGGGGACATGAAGAATGTGTCACCCATAGCATTTCCTTCTCACTGGAGTATTGTGTTCACCCACCACAGAGGGAGTCAAGGTTCAGTTCTATCCTTCACTTTCTCTCTGCCCACTCCTGTAGAGTGGTTCACATCTGCAGTCAGGGAGAATTGCACTGGAACAAGCTCTGAGATATCATCAGTGTGGGGTTCAGAGTTCCCACAGGCTTTACAGAAAGATACGCTTTTACCAGAAACTCGTCCGTGTAACTGTGGAGATCTCATCTAAGGGAATAGCATCAGTGGGAATATTTTGGAGTGAAAGGGTAAACATGCTGGAGAGTTCATATCACCCTTGTTTTCTTCATCATGCCAGGCAGACTTCGCAGAGAGTTTGCCTGCAAAAAAAAGCATCGATCCTTTAAATATTTATTGTACAAATGGTTTTCCAACAGATACATGCGGATTTTCTTCTTGCTTTGTTTTAGAAGATGGCTGAACTATTTTTAAATACAGGTAATGAGAGGTCAATAGCATCCAGACCCACACCAGTCCTTTCTTGAGCTGTTCTAAAGCAAAGGAAGGGGAGAGAATGAGCATGTGGTTACATTTTGATTACAAAAGCCAGACAATACATTTGAAATTGAAATTCTGTCAACAACTTAGCTACTGGGGGTGTAAAATTAATGAAATCTCTGCCAAGACAAGATTTATGATGATCAGGAGACATGCCTTTACCTAAATGAGAAGTGGGATTGTGCCTGTTGAAGGCTAAAGAAGTTAATTGTACTCTGCTGTCTGTATTTACTTGGACTATTTTTCCTCATAATTTATATGTGAGAATGTTGATGCTTGTTATGCTTACAGAGTACTTTCTGTGAGAGAAAAGTATCATTATCTCCCTTTTAACATGTGAAGAAACTGACACCCAGAAAGCTGGGGCACCCGAGGTGAGGTTTTTGTGTTCTTGCTGCATACTTCCACAGATCCATCAAGGAAAATATCACTAATGATCCAACTTTTAATTTCACAGATGAAGGAACTTGGCGTCATCGTATACAACTGTAGCTGCCTGGTCCTGGATTTACAAAGGATTTTTGCCCTGTATAGCTCATTAAGGTATAAGAATAAAATACCTCCGAGTTGGTCTAAGAGACTCTATGGAGTGTACGATACTCAAAATAAACTGACACTGCAGCTGAACGAGACAAAATCAGAAGCTTTTGTGTCGGTAAGTTCTGAAATGAGTTCCAGGGTGTGGTGGGGGAGGATAGGGAAGAAATGTACTTAACCCACAAGATTTTTGAAAGACCCGGAAATTCGAAAAATCACAATATTTATTTTTTGTTTAGTTCTGGTTTCTATGATATGCAGTTTGTCAGGACTTTAGATGCTGCAGGATTTCATTTGCGTATTATTCAATTTCCTTTTCTTTGCAATGTTCAACACTTTTCCAGTCATGTTCAGAAAACAATACAGAGACCCTTCAAATTAAATTATTTTATTTATACTAATAGATAGAATGTGAATGACTTGGGAGTAAATGAACAATTAATCAGACATAGAAAATAATACAGAATAAGCAGAGTTTGCATTTTTATCAATGTAATTTATAAGAATTCACCCTATTGCAAAGCATTTGTACTTCTGTACAAGATCATCTATTTCAACTTTATTTTTAAATGACATTTTAAAACTTCTAAAATCCAAGCAGTGATCCTCATGGAAGCACTGTCTGTGCATGTCTTTTTAATGGAAAGAAACTGAATCCTCCATCTCATCAGTGATGTAGCAAAACTGGAAAAAAGTACCCAGTGAGATAGAGATGATGGAAGATGTGGAGTGTCATTTATTTTAGTGGTAATTACGTGAGTGTAAACTGCCCCTTCAAAGTCAGGAATATAGATAAAGTTGCTGAGAGTAATTTTCCATTCTCTATAAAACAAGGGCAAAACCACCATTGCTTTATAGCCACTTTTTAGTTGTACAGCCACTGGCATCAGACAGTGCAGATGAGTGGTTATACAGGGCAGGGTTCCCCTTCACCTGCTGGGCACCAGTGGACAGACAGAAAACTATTTTGGAGTGAAAATGTGGAAGTGCCTAGGACAGCCAGAATAAATAGTGGTTTGAAAAAATGGACACTTCCATTGATTCTGGAGAATCTTAAGGACTAGCTTAAATGAGACAGTGTTTTGGACAGTTTGCTAATGCACTGTGAAATGAAAACCTACTCCTTTCTAAGAAATCTGTAAGAAATGGAGAAATCCTGCTGAAAGTCGATCCTGGAGGGGAACACGGAATTGAAAGCTGGTTAAGGCCCAGTTTACGGAATCTGGGATCCTAGGCAAAGGCAGATGGAGAGAGACTCTACCTTTTTTTTCAGTTTGCAGAGTGTTCCCTTCCTCTGTGACTTTTTCCTTTCCTGTAGGCATGGAAGCCTCTTCTCTTGGTATTTCACTTCAGAAAACAAAAGGAAGGACTCAGTAATACTCAGGAGCACAGATCACTGAAGTCCACCTCCAAGAGCTACCTAAATTTGTATCCACAGCCACTTGGGACTTGCCCCTCTTAAGTGCAGTCCTAGAGTTGCTTGGGACTGTCTCGATGGACCAAATGTTAATGCTGCTGTGTGTTCTCCAGCTAATGATCAGAAGGAGTTTCCCAGGAGCCAGGCAGTTCCCTTGCTGCCGTGGCAGTCCTGCCTGGGGCAGAGACAGGCTGCTGCCTCCCCGTTAGTTTGGGATAGCACACCCCAGGAGCAGAGGCATGGAAAGGTGCTGTTCCCAGCCAGAATAAAGGCCTGTTCCTCGTAGGTGAAGAGGAGGAACAGGTGGGTGCTTGATCAGAATGGCAAGTGCTACACGACATGGAGACGAGTCCTAAGCCAGTCCGTGGCTGTGGGGCAGGGATCAGCTGTGCCACGGAGTAACAAGTGGAATGCCAAAGCATAGTGCTACAGTTAGAGATTTTTCTCCTAATTATCTTCAGGAAGTCTTTCACTTTCAGATGTTTGTATTGAACACATCTGAAGAAGACAAATGCATGACAATTTCTTTCTTCAGCTGTTCTGTAACTTTAAAGGTCAAGAAAATAATACAAGTGTTAAGAATAACATCTCGGAGCAATTACCTCCAAAAAGTGTCAGATAATTGAAATAAATTATATTTAATATTTTAACTATATTTAAATCATTTTACACTTTTTTCTTGAGTTGAAATTAATTTTTTGAAAACTTATTTCAATGTTTGTGCTATATAAAACAAGCGTAATATACAGTCATTGAATTTTTTTGTTATACTTGGGAATCGTAGCTTAGTGTTGCTTAGCAACAAACTCATCTTCCAGACTGGCTGATAAAGTGTAAAAGGTTTTGGTTTTTTAGTGTTCAGGAATGGATCTGGAATATTGGTCTTGAAATCTTGCTACAGTTAATTTTCTAGTATTTTCTGTACTTAGTTGTAGTAAATCCTTAAGAACACTGTCAGTAATTAGAAAACACTGTGACAGGCAGTGTACTGAAATTAAGGAAGACTAATAAAACCTCTGGGATCTTTCCCTAAAGGAAAGATGCTCATCTGGATGTCAGCTGCAACCCAAGCAAGTGACAAAGGTGAGAAGGTGCTACAGTGGCAGAAAAGCACATGTTCCATCTGGGTTAAAGTGCCTTCAACAACCTCTGTCCCGGAAATGAAGTCATTGCAACTTGAAAGGGGGATTCACTTTTCTCTCCCTGCTTGTGCAGCAGAGTAGAATGTCCTGGGCACATCTGCCACAGATGAGCAATTTCCACTGGTTTCACCTTGCCTCTGACACCCCCAGAAGATTGCAGAAAAGCTGCAACCTGGGCTTCTACCAGCTCTGTACTGGGAAATTCATACCTGAAGCTTTGTTTTAAAGATAAGTTTCTTGCAAAACTGCAGTGTCTCCCTGCAACTGATATAAAACACTTAATTCCTGCTACCAAGTGAAGGATCACGCTCATGTGGCAAGAACATATGAACACTCCATCTAATAGAAACCAGTTCTGGGGCTCTTTGGACCAAAATTCCCTGAAATGTAACTTCAATTACAGCTTCTTTCATTACAATAGATGTTTTGAAGTCTGTGTCTTTTGCATTTTACCAACAGTTACACCTAAATGTTGAGGCTTTTGAGGGCCAAGTAAGCAAGTAGCTTGCCTTTGTAGCTTTGAGTATTCTAACAGGAGCAGGACAGCTGAAGTTAATAATCTCTGCTAAAATAATGGATACTACTTCTCATCTCAAGACTGAGGGGGAGAGAAAATAAATAGTTTTTAATGCCATATTTCAACTTTTCATTTCACAGAACTCACCCAAACTCTTCTGCCCCAAGGACCGAGTCCTGGATATCGAAGCTATCTACAGCGTTATTGACGATGCCAAACAGTTTGTGTACATTGCTGTCATGGACTACTTGCCCATTGTCATCGACACCAACGCTAAACGGTGAGTGTCCAGCTCCAGCTGGTTCCCATAATGCCAGCAGGGTCTGCTGGAGAAAATGAACTCACAGGAGGTTAGTTACTACTGTGCACCAGTTTCTTGGGGCCCAATTCTGCTCTTATTGAAATCAGTGAGAGTCCTACCATTGACTTAAATGGGAGCAGAATTGGGACCTAAGAGGACATTTCCAGTTCAGGGTCCTAAGCTTTGGATCTGCCTGTTGAAGGAGATCAGAAATTGTCTAGTCTGACCATCTGCATGGGACTGGAACCCAGGAATATAAGTCTGCTTACACATTAATCCTATTTCTTGCCCTATTATATTGACTATTCTGAGCCCACAACTACTGGCATATTATGAGTATCATGCAGATATTCAACATGACAGTGTGTTAAGAGAGAAATAATCTGTATACTGTGTGGGAAATGTCATTATCTTACTGGCATACACATATAAATGAAAATTCCCAGTTCAGAATAGATTACATTTGAATGATTTCACAGTTTGGTTAACTGAGAGGTGATAAAACCAAACAAAATTACATAATGTTTGAACAGCCAGTTTGTATGGACCATTAAAAAGCATTCATGGGTCTAACACTGGAGCCAGAGTGCATCAAAACCATCCAGCTCAGGAGGCAAGTATCCACTGGTCCCTCCTACTCTTGATAATGTTCACAATGAATTTAGAACCTAGCAAAGCCTGCTGTTCCATCTTTGCATTTTATTTGAACACAGTTAAGCCAAACTAAGCATGTGGTTGTGTACTCTTTTCTATTTAGAGCTGTTCTGTTCAAAATTTTCAAAAAATAATTATCATGTGACTGATACCAAGCATAAACTGTTTTAAGATTATGAGATAGTTTTTCCAATAAATTCATTATGTACAGCCTCCATCACAGGGAAAGAATCATGGGCAGTGCTTTAGGAACCACAGTCTCATGTTATGTATGCTTCCTACTTCTCCTTTATCTTGGAAAGCATCTTAGTATGTAGAACCACTACAGTGTTGTATGTTATCTCCTATACTCCTCCTTACTTTATTCTCATGGTGGAAGCATTCAGAAATCTACTGGATTAGGGACATGAAGGAAGCACCTGTGTGAATTTGTCAGCATTTTTCCTTCATCATGGATTTGTGTTTGAGGCACTGCCCCAGCATCTCTACGTTGCCAGCTCCCAGTTTGTGCTTCTAAGTTATTTTCTGGCATGGTAGAGCTCGGATTTCATTAGCCCTGGTGTTTTGATGTTGTTGGAATGTAGAAAACATGCATTTTTCTTTGTTTAATTCTCCCTGCCCTGCCCTGCTCCCACCAAATGTCAGGAATACAAAGCTAACTGTCAATTGTGAGAATAGCACCGTGGAAGCCACCATCCCATGGCAGAATTTCTGCACTCCTATCACATAGCATCCTCCATAAGCATCCCATCTCATCTGCTGCTCCTGAAGGACACAGGCACTCTGCACAGCAGCTCTGTTTCCCAAGGAGAAATCACAGAAGGCATTCCAGTGCCCAGGCTGTGCTGTCCCAGTGCTTAGGGGTTGAACAAGGGATGCCAGCCAGGGAGATGCGGTGTTCCAGTTCCCTGACCTGTGCCAGCAGGGAAATGCTCTGTGGCCATGTCTGGGCTGGCCAGCAGCGCCCTCTGGCAGCGGCTCTCCCAAATGTTTTAAAGTTTTAAAAGTTCTCTGCAAACGTTGTCTTCTTTCTCCACAGGTACTGGCCGTATTTAGATGGGAAGATAAGAGAAGCATTAGTTTTACGAAGTATTAAAGTACGACTTCTCATAAGTTTCTCGAGAGACACAGATCCCCTTACTTTTAACTTTGTTTCATCTCTGAAAGCTATTTGCACCGAAGTTCCAAGCTGTAGTTTGAAAGTTGTAAGTATAATCCATATTACTTTAAAATATATGATAATCCCCACCCCCCAAAAAAGAATCAAGAAAATAAAACAACTGAGAATTTTTTCTGTTATTATCAAAGTCTTTAAATTCAATTAAATATCAGGAAACTTAAAATATTGAACAAATAATTTACTCCTAGTACTAACAGAATTCGAAATTAAGACAGAAAAATACCTTGGTGCCAAAAGGCAGTCAGTGTGGTGGACAGCCTGTGCAAAACACCTGATGTGGTCTCTCACAGTGAAACCAACAGAGGGAACTGTAGCCACTGGTCATGTTCATACTGTGAGATAAGAGTCAATCTGAGAGAACAAAAATATGATTTAGTCTGCATTCACGTAACCTTACTGTTAAGATGTGTAAGCATCTACTTTTTTCTTCAGTCAAGTGAAAATTACAAGAAAAAATAATGAAGATTTTACATTAAATTCAGGCTGCAAACTCAAAAATGTGAAGACCAGAAACACCACTCTGGGACCACATTAGCCATGCATGAAAAGTACAGGAAAGTGAGAAATACCATACAAAAGTATTAGAGAACACAATGCATATTAAGTGCTATTTCCAGTGTGACACACTTGACTTTTATGAAATGAGGCACACTGGAAATCAGCCACCTTGGATCTTTGCCAGGGAGGAGGTTGTGGGTTTATTTGGCTTTGTTTTGTTTTGTTTTTTTTTTTCAGGTAAAAGTTCTAAATAATCTGCTGAATTATTTTGATTTCCTAACTTGATAATCCTGTAAATCCTTCTGGCGGTTTGAAAATTGACAAAAATTCTAAAAAGGAAGTACTATTTCTTATACACACAATAAGTGGTATTATGCATATCTAGAAATAGGGCTTTTTGTTATAATATATGTTGTTATTATAAGTTTCCTCAGTAAAAAAGCAGCATAAAGTGTGGTTTTAAGTAAAAAAACCCCATACATAGCTGACTCTGTTTAAGACACTTCAATTTTAAATAACTTCTAGCTTTTTCCATATTTATCATCAAAAATCTATTTATATATTCAAAATTTTTTTTTGCAAAGTGGTACCTAATACTTATATCCATTGCCATCTATTTACAGCAGATAAAATCTTTTGTACAGAATTTATCTTGTCAAGAACTAAATGGTAAAAGGAAAAAAAAACCTGCTCCTAAACATCTGTTCTAAATAGTTCAGGTAGAGTCTCTGCAGTTAGAAAATACAAAAAACAAAAACAACTTCAGGAAAAAAATGAGCTGCAGGGAGTTGTAAAGGTACAACACTAAGTCAGTTACCTCTGTGTGTGCATCAAGTTTCCCAGTCTGGGTGAACCACTGCCTTAAATAAACCTTGTTATGGGTAATAGCCCAAGGGTCAGAGTTTGCTGTTATCAATTTGATTTTGGCTGACAGCAGTGCCATAGGCTCCATCTCAATTCTCTTTTAATTTAAAAAGCATGTCAGGTGAGCAACTGCGTTTTAAAGATGCATTTCTTCTGTATTCATCCATTACAGCCAGGATCAAAGTGAAACAAAACTATGTGTGTTTATGGAGGGGAAAGAATAGGTTAAAAAAGTAAAAAACTAAATTACCTTTTGAACTATTGAAAACATTCCTTTTCCCTCTTGGTTCTGCTTTGGCTGTGAGAAAATAAACTAACCTCAGTACAAAAAATACTGTCTTGCAGACATGTATGGTGTGTGTTTATATACAAATACACTGAAATTTTAAGAGAAACCTGTTACAAATTCTGATTGAAATTGCACTTAAGGTTGCTAGGCTGCCGCAATACCTCCATATGGTCCTGACCAAAATGCCACACACACCTGCACCACAGGATCTCCTATCCCCATGTTGTCCTGTTCTTTTGGGGATCCTACAAAGCATACTCAGTAACTTCTTATTTTTCATTCAGCTTTTGAACAGCACATGACCTCCTATCCCCATGTTGTCCTGTTCTTCTGGGGATCCTACAAAGCATACTCAGTAACTTCTTATTTTTCATTCAGCTTTTGATCCTTGTGATATGCCTTGTCTTGATTGTTTTCCTTTATTTTTTTTCCTTATCCCTATGGAAAGACCAGTTTGGCTTGAAAGTTTGCAGTGAGTGCTAATGGCTGGCTGCAGCTGCAGGGTGCACTGGTTTGCTAGTGGCCATCCTGGAGAAGGAGATGCAGATGTAATTTCTCTGTTGGATGAGAATCTCCTCCTGGTTTCTCCTGACCAGGCTATTGCAAATTCTGGTATTGCCTAACTGCAAGTACAGAGTTAGGGCACTGCAACCCTGTTACACCTGGCGTGTGCAGCATCTCTGAGTCCCATTCACAGAAGCATTAATGATTACTGGTTTCAACTGAAACTGTTTTGAGAATGCAAACTCAATACAAGTACTCTGAAGAAAATGACCACTAGAAGAACTTGCACCTAGAAAGCTTTGTTTGAGAGCTAACTAAATGCTATAAGCTCACAGCCATAGGGCAAGGAGTAACCTGCATATCAAACTGCTGCTGAAGCAGGGAGCTCTGTCCTGTGCACAAGTGGTCATGAAATTAAAGCTTGAATCAGAAAGGGCAGACTCAAGGTGAAGAGCTCACCACTGTGCTTCTTGGGACCTTAATTTCTGTATTCCTTACATTTTGTGTACTTGACCCTGTAAATGTATCCTGTGTGTGCGAATGCCTGCTCTAACTCTGAAAGGAGCAGCAGGAAGGGGCCAGCTCTGCTGGGTGCAGTGCTGAACAGAGGAAGGTGTGTGCTTTGAAAGGGCCTGCAGAAGTTATGACCTAGAACAAAATTGTCTCTAGACAACTGGAAAACACAAAGGAGTGGCAAGAAGCATCTATCTACAGCCAAGTTATTCTTGAGCATCCATGTGAATCTATTTTTGAGTTATGTAGGTGTATTCTTGCTCACTTTTGTCTGTTACTGATCAGACGAAGAGTGCATATAGCTCTAAATTTATAAACAGATAAACAACCAAATAAATAAATAAATCTTGCTCATACTTCACTCTCCAGGGTAAAGCATTTTCCTCTTGTTGCCTGGAAAATTTGATCTCTTTATACCAAATTCAATCCTGAGAAGCTTCTAAATTTCTGAAATCATAAGTTTCCTATTGGAAACTATGCAATGTGTGATTGCAGAGGTATTAATTCAGCTGTTGTTGTGTCACTGATCCCAATCCTGAAGCAGACTTCAAACCCCAGCATCCCTTGAAAAATGAGGAAATTAGTTTAAAAAAGTTCCTGGCTCTTACATGGAGAACAGATTTATTTTTTTTTTTCATTTTACAGCCTTTACTACCTGGCACTGTATTGCTTTTAGCATGCAGTAGCCATATACTTTATATAGTTCAGAATGCCAAGGCAGGAGTATCATAAACTATGAGAATTTAATTAGAAATGCAATGTGCAGCATTTTATTAAAAGTAATACTTGGTAGTAAAAACTCAAGCTGTTCTCTAGTACCAACTAATTTTCAATAAAGATTAGAGAACAGACTGTATTTTTTCACTCTCTTGTAGAGCAATTCTCATTAACCTGTGTTTCTTTCTATTTCATGGCAGAAATTCTTTGACCTTGAGGAAGAGAGTGCCTGCTTTCTTAAAGAACAGAAGAACACTTCCCTTCCCAAACTGAATCGTAACAAATACATGGTGACTGATGGAGCTGCGTATATTGGTAAGTAACCACACCTCAAGAAATTCTAGTTTGTATCCAAAAGCGTGAAATAACAACCTTTTGTAGAGGAGCAATCTGCAGCTGATATGTTCTTTAAGTGAAGATAATAGTTCATTTATTTGGGTCCCTGGATGATGACTGAACTTTCTGATCTAAAACCTGTTCTTCCCCTCTGAATCAGTTTCTCAAGACCAGCATTCTGCTTTCAGTATCCTAAAACAGACTGAAAGCACAAATACAACACAATTTATGAAGCAGGTATAATTATTAGCATATTCTCTGGTTCTGCAATCCAATGAAGATGGAGTGTTCTCCTTTCCCCATGTTATTACTAGAGCTATGGTCAATTCTGGCAAATACTGTACAGATGCTCTTCATCCTCATCATCCAAAGCCTTACTCCATTTATTATAATGGCTTTTCAGACACCCTCCAAGTACATACCTAACTGGTATTTTGGATTAAAAGTGTATTAAATGTGTATTTAACTAAAATTTCTGTGTGGCGCCTCATAAAAGTTTGGGATTTTTTACTTTTACTTGAAAGCATAGGAAAAATTGTCCCTTGTGACGAGGTTTCAATTTACCATCCTTGATAACTTTAGAATTCTTAACATTTCCTGCTGAAGTAACAGCCTTGTTTGTCCAAGGCTGTGTTTTAAGTGTATAATTTAAAATACAGTTATAGTGAAATAAAGAAAAAAAGTAGCTGAAGCACTTGATTTACCTGCTTTCCATTAGTCCAATTAACCTTTTTGCCCTGATATCCCCAGGATTCAAAGTGCTTACTTGTTACCTTTGATTTCCACAAAGATTGTAATAACGGGCATAAACCAGTAAAGTCTCTTTCCTCAAATAGTATCTATCAACAGGTAAGTTGTAAAATATCTACTGGTTTGGAACTTTGAATTGTTTATACAGAAAAAAAAAATCATTTTTAGCATTGAAAAGGCCAGTGAGGAAAGTAAATGGAGTAATAATGTAATAGATGTAAAAAGAAGAGCAAATTAGTTTTGAATACATAGAAGAACCTCTTTTCACTTCTGAAGGCTTAGAGCTGTTAAAACTTCCAGAAACAATCTTCACTACGCATGGTATGTATTGGAGCTTTTTTTCCTGCTGCTATTAAAAAAAACCCCTAACTTATTTACATCTCTACATTGGGAAAATGGTAGTATTTCGTTCTGGATTGCCTTGAAGGAGATTGGTTTTTATTTGGTTATTTTTTTACTGCTAGAAACTCACTGTCTATTCCTGCCTTTGCTTGCAGGTAATTTTGATTGGGTAGGAAATGCTTTTACGCAGAATGCTGGAGCTGGCCTTGTTATCAACCAAGCAGACGCGGGGAACAGCACAAGCATCATTAAGCAACTCAAGGCTGTTTTTGAAAGGGACTGGTATTCACATTATGCCAAAAGTTTACAACCAACAAAAATCCCAAACTGCTTTAACCACAAACTCAATAAAGGAACTTCAAATAAGACTTCCATGAGCAATGTGAATTAGAAAGACTATTTTACTGTTTAGTATGGCAATGAAGAATTATGTTGGGGTGTAGCCTTCTTTCATATTTACAGACAAAAGACTTAAAGAAAAAGCAAAAAAAAAAAGAAGTTTGGTTTGGGGGGGTGTTTTTAGGAAAAAGCACACTTATATTAAATCTGTCTAACCTATATTCTCTATATGGATTATTTAAGACTTTCAAATTTGTTACTTCTGACACTGAATGTCATTTCCACTTCCATGTAAATTTTAATGTTCCACATTTAAATTTATCAGCAATTTATGAGCATGTGTCAATGTTTCTGTTTTAGGACTTTCCCCAATTGCCAACCTGGTTAGAGCAAACCATGAGGCAAAATGAAGATTTGAGCTATGAAATGGCATTCTAAGATCAGTTATTATTGACATACAGATAAATGGTAGGTTTACTGTAATAGAAAATGTAAAGGAGTTAGCAAAGTTTCACCCATAAAATAATTCCTTTTGAATAACTACTCTGTCATAAAAATACTTACTGCTTTTGAGCGTTTACTTTGAGTATCACTATTCCATGTCTTCTAACTAGCCTTAAAATACATTGGAGTTACAGGACTGGTAATTCTTTCATCTCCTAACAGTATGAGAAATTTTTGAGGGGTTGGGGTTGGCCTCATCAAGTTTGTCATATTCCCTAAAGCCTCTCAGATTTTTTGTCAAAGTACTGTGGATTCCTTTCAACAGAATAGTTATTTCTAATTACATGCATTTCATCTAACAGTGAAAATCTCTGGGTTAATAGCTAAAACCTAGAAATGGTTTTTTTATGTTTTTGTAATCTGAAGAAAATTTCTTCCCCAAGTTTAATATTTGTCACGTGTGAGTCAGCAGATATGTGATGACTCATTATTGAGCCAATGCACATCTCAAAATTAAATACTGCTTTTTAGAAAGGCCAAGGGTTATGCAAAATCATGCAATAATTGTTGTTAAATAATCATACAGTAATGTTGTTGATTTTTACACCTGAAGAATTTGATTTCCTAGCTTCTACTTTAAAAAGAAATAAAAATTGCGAAGTGACATTTTTTGTTAAAATATCATCCATATAATTAAATACATCTGCATGAACAGAAAGTGATGCCTTCATTTAGACCACAGTTTTAGTTGGTGTCAAAAGTGTGCCTCTACAATCACAACTAAGTTGCACCAAGAAGCAACTGGTCTATAAAAGTGTGAATTTGCTCTTTAAAGAAATGCACAGAAATGTTTGATGACAGATTTTTCTCCAGTCAGAGCTGTAATAGCAGAGTTTCATAACAAAAATGTTTCACTACTATGCCTCTGCTTCCATTGAAGAAACACAGCCATGAAAGCAAACTGCATTCTGTGTTTTGTTAAATATTCACAGAACTTTTTCCAAAATGATGACTTTTCTTCTCATCTCCTGAAGGCACACTTCAGAAGCAGAGGGCAAAAAGAGAAAGAAACCCAACCACATTCCAATGTATTAATCTTACAAAGAAGTTAAAATGCATCTTGACTTTCAAAACATATCTTACACTTATAAGGTGAAAAAATTCAAATTTATTTCCACAGTGACCACAGCTTAGGAAATTCTAATAAATTAACATATGCACAACTTCAGATTGTCTGCTAGAGATACCCCACAAGACTAATTATGACCCCAAAAGGCACACTTTTGACAAAGATTTTTTGTTTATTTTGCAATTGCAAAGATTTACATCATCTCACTGAAAATGATAAATCAAAAAAGATTGTCAGATTTTACAGAAAATATTTTGCACAACTCCAATAGTCAATAACATTTTCTGATATTCAGATAAACACATGGCATGTATTAGTCTCACACACACATAGAACAGCATATAATCTATTATACTGATAAGAAACAAGTTTTTTAAAAGAAAAAGGTTTCCTGTGTTGCTATGAGGAAAGATCTTTGTGAGTAGAAATTTCTGGATTTTCTTCCTTCTGTATTTAATTTAGAGTATGTATAGCATGTATGGGAGAGAGATTCTAAGAACTTAACTTACTTGTTGGGGATTTTTTGTTTTGTTTAAGAAATGAGTATTAGTCCAGATTAATTACTGATGAAAATTTCAGCTGAGTTGTACCATCAATAACTTTAGTCTTGTGAGTCAAAAACCCACAAAATGAACAAACAAAAAGCCCACCACATTTTTAAAAGCTGGTTGAGATAGTTGTACAGTTTCGAGGTCCCTATGGATAGGTGACCTTAAAGTTTGAGATAAACTTAATACCATGACCTTACATAAAACACAAAATAATTCATGCAAACAAAAAAACCCCACTGCCTGTTATATGTAGCACCTAATGGCAATAATACACAGTAATCAATCAGTGTAGGGGTTTTTTCCCCCTCTAGCATTATGGATACTACATAATTTTAAATGACATCTTGTATAACAAATGGAGGATCTGGGTGGAACACAAATTTGTCAGACGATAAATCTAAGTTGGGTTTACAAAGCAGGGTTTATTGATGAAATCAAACTGACCATTGACTGATTTAGTATAACAAATGAATGGTAAAATAACTTTACTGGACAGATCCTAGGAAAATGCAGATCATGAATACTAACAAGGTCTGCTGGTTTGCAAACATTTTATTATTGGCTAGATAAACAGATTCTTGGTGCTTCAATGACCCCCCTGAAAGAGCAGATACATAAAAGTACTTTTTAAAAGTGGTAGTATATTTTTGTTTTATGAATGGAAGAATTTAGGTGGTTTTGAACAACTTTCAACTCAAAATACTGGCCAGCCATCCTATAAATGGAATGGCAGACTCAAATTCCATTTGGTATAAAGTATGGATCAATACTGTAATAACTGTTTAGAATGGCGTCAGCTCCAAAGTAGTACATAAGACCTTGACCTATTACATTAGCCAAAAGACAAAGTGCATCCCTGAACTTCAGCAAATAGGAAATTTAAAATACCAGATTATTTTTTGAAAACGTATAAGGGGATTATTGCCAATTCTTTGGCCTGGGCCAGCGCTATTACTGTTTAACTAGATTTGCTAAAACATCCTCAGTTTTGGCTTCAGATCCTTCTACCACTGTAATAAATGGGAAGCAAATCCATTACAGTGATTTCACACTAATTTAGCTGGGATCAGAATCTAAACCAGTTTCCTCTTGCTTCCAATCTCCTGAGTAGCACCACTGCACAGGCTATTTCCTAATGTAACAGGGATTTGCATTCAGGGGTTTCTTACAGACCTCACAGGCATAACCCAAAAGATGCACTTTCTCTAGGCCCTTCTAACTGGCATTGGTAACTCTGTCATATTAAAGGCAATTTCCTAAACAGAACGGTTTTATTCTTAAAGAATATAGACTGTAATTGTTGTTTGCTGCAAACATTTACTAGTGCCTTATTCATACAAGTTTTTGTTTAACTGTTCCTCACATGAAGTCCTGCTAAAGATCCTGTACCTTGTAATGAGGCATAGAGCAAACTTCCTAAGTAAGAAGACATTGTGATGTTTACAGTTTAGTACCTAAAACTAGTCACAAAAAGACAAAAAGTGGCTGCAAGATGTTGGTCCAAACCACAAGCACGTCTAAACTGGAGCATTTTTATCCAATCCCTGTTCAAGAACTAAATTTCACAATTTACTCCTGGCTTCTTTATCCAGTTATCTACAACACAGTTGAATTAGTCTGTCCTGCCAAGGTATAAAATCTGAATTCCCCCAACATCTGGCTGCTATCAAAACCATAATCACAGAAATTTCTGTAAGCACAGGTTGAAGCCCAAATGTCACACAGTGGCTACTTTCCAGATCTTGCATGTTAAGTCTCAAGTTGTTGTGGGCCAGCTACTTTTTCTGCCTGAAGCATGAACTAGTATCCACAGCTACTCTCACCTCTTGTTTGAAGACCAGAAAGGCATGGATTGTATGGTACAGCACAATGGCTATAGCTGTACCCTAAGAGGAAAATATTTAGGCTTTACCCAATGTAGGGCCAGGTATTCCTCCCAGAAAATCCAGGCTGTGCTGGTGGTTCAGAAGAGAGCTTGAGAAACACGTAGAAATGCTTCCAAATGCTATTTTTAACACCTACCCATTATTTGCTATACTACCAGCTGCCTAAATTCTACTACTTTGTTGAGATTTGCACACATAAAAGCTGAACAAATAAGTTCTGTTATCTGCCAGTTAACCCTAATCTAAGAAAAAATACAGAAAATTTATAGGGGTTTTTTGTGAATTTAGCATGTAATTACTGGAAAGAGTGATTAGAGTGCACTCTCATCAAGATGGTAAAGACATCAGCTGGCTCTTCCAGTTCTTCAGTCTGAAGTTCTAAATATCCCTGTCTCAGATGGTTATACACTTGACTCCTGAGAATGGCCTCATGGAGTACACTAAGTTATCTTCAAACCTTTCTGGTCTTCAAAATTAACTCATCATTGTAATACAAATATACTGACTAAATGTTTAGTATGTTTCCTGATGGTAATTTCTGGTGCTGTGTTTTTCTTCCACTCTTACCCTTTCTCTCTCTGCAGCTATAATATATTCATGGTTTTTCAGTCATCATTATTCCAATGCAATCTGTATAAAGAAACCAGAATGAATCCTTGGTGTGTTTAAAATTCACAATGATGCCTCCCGAGTTAAAGGTACCACTTCTGACACTGCTCCACTTCTAACACTGCAAGGTATAGCAGCTCAACTGATACTGTAGGAGATTGCTTTTCTTAGCTGTAGTTTTTCACTTTAATTACTGCTGGATGTTATTTATTAATTTCTCAGTATTGAATCAGGTTGCTCTTGGATCATCACTTTGCACAAATGCCTTAGAAGCTTGCCAAACTAGCATGTAAAAGAGACCTCATTCAAAATAGTTTAGACAAGAAAAGAAAAACTCATGTGCTTTACACTCTGAAGGGTGCTGAAGTCAATGGATAAACTCTGGTCCTATAATAAAGTGGAGCTTTCTATTGTACCTCCGGTTTAGATTAATCCTGCATGGGCTTCCAGGAAAGTCTGTGAGAATTGTTTGTTTGAATTACCTTGGGATCAGGAATTTACAGAGAATCTGAAAATAATCCAG